CCACCTTTCGATACACCTTATGGTTACCTCTAAACGATACTGAACCGGAAGATACTGAAGACACATACATTCAGAAAGTTACCCAAGATTCAGTATACTTTATTACGGGAAAGTTTACTATGCTAATAAAAATTTTAAACAATATAAAAATATTTGCTGAAAGCCAACTGATGAAATCAGTTGGCCACACCACACACCTCTAGTTATTAAATAAAATATGATCTTCAGTAAAAGAATTAGAAATGCGATATTGTCCAATATTGAAGAAGATAATTATGGAAACCCATTAGACTCGTATAATTTTGGAGAAGATACATTCGAATATATAAAATATCTCTTCTATTGCGGAGCAGGTCGATAGGTGATGAATCAGAGATTCGAGACTCTGTCTCTTCTTCGAATCATGACTCAAAGAGCCTACGTGTATTAGAAAAAATATAAATAGAAATTTAACAAATTTTATTTATTTAGTGTAGGGAGAAGAAAGCCGACCTAGCCATCTGCCATATATATTTTTTTTTCGGTTGGCGACTTCGCACTCAAACACATGCTTCAATTAGAAACGTATTACGTAAAAATCAGTTAGCCCAGATCGTGATCACAAAATTAAATCATGTCACGTTATAATGAGCCTCAAGGGAGCGATGTCATGTGTTTTATTTCAAAGAAATGGCTCTTCGAGCCTAAATCCGCGAATCAGAGATTAGCATAGAAGTTCGTGGAACATACATAGCCGAGAACGATAGAAAAAAAATAGCCGGTTTATTGATCGTAACGTATCCGAAAAAATAGTGAATATCGAGTTGAATTGGTCAATGATATTCATATTCGAAATCAGTAGCCTCCGGTTAATTTCGGTGTGATTATATGAGTGACGAAGGATCATCTTTATTGATATACGTAAATATAAAATACATAATATCTATTCTGAATCTACGGCTTCTTTGTCTTTCCGACTTGGGTGTGGACCCATGTGGTAACAATGTCATATTAACTATCAAAATATTACGGAGTATCAATAGTTTCTATAAATTTTGATACTATAAAAGAATCTGCGAATACCGAATAACACAATAACGAGCAATACGCATGGTACCCTAGATACCGATCACGAGCTAATGCTGAATTAGATGGAGTTTACGAACTCTAAGGTTGTTAGATCACAGGAATAATTCCAATCGCAAATGAAAAATAGCAATTTTTATTATAATAAATTGAACTGATAAAAAAACGCTCCCCATCACATTATTAGGACAGCTGTTCGACTTCCTCTCCCTCTTCGCCTTCCTCTCATTCCCTTTCCACTTCTTGTAAAAGTGATTCACGAATTTTGGCTAACGCTATCAACACCACTCGTCTTCCGTTCGGTTGAGCAAGATTAAAACCAGACGTCAATTCATTCCTAGCAGGCCATCTTTGAATTTTTAAGGACTGGTCTTTTGGTAAACCCTTTTCAAGCGCCTCCCAATATTTTGCAGGAATCACAGCTTTATAAAAAGTAACGTATGTAGAGATTACACGCATGGCCAATATTTTCTGATCTGTAGGTCTCTCTCCACCAAGGGAACGTAAATTCTCACTACCGCAAGCAAGAATTTCTACAGCGATCTGCGGTTCTCCATATCCATTAGCTGACGTAACATTGTTCAGATGTTTGTCCTGTTAAAAAACATTGCTTGAGTTTGGCAAAAATAATAACATGTAAAACAGTCAACACACAAACCCCTATCACAAGCATAGCAAGTTTTTTCTTGCCAACTTTCTTCCTTACTACAAATTCGGGGTTCGAAGACACCATAGGCTCACCGTCAATGTATAGTTTGTTTAGCGGGTGATTTCTGGATTTTGGGAATGAAACTTTAGGAATGACCATTGTACTTATCACAAACAGAAGTTACTCACCTAATCATTAAGGGAAAGCAATCCAGCTTAGTAATACGAAGTAGATTATCCACAAGCGTATCAGTGAAAGTTTCGTCGGTGCCTATCACCTGGACACCATTTAGCACGACTTCATGCAATTTCGTGACGAACGTTTGGACTTTATCATTTGTAATGTCAGAAAAATTTTCAACATCGAATGTTGGATTTCCAATTGCTGTAGCGTCGAGAGTAGGGAGAATATACTTTTGTAACTTTTGAACGTTGGTTGCTAGAAAATCTCGAACATCGGGTATAACAACGTTCTCAGCTGAAGCGGGTTCAAAGCTCACTCTCAGTTCTTCTATATCCCGTGTTTTGAACAAAGATGCCGAAGAAGGGAGGTTGTCTAAGTCACTAGAACTGGAACTGAGCCTAAGATTACTGGTGGCCTCCGTGATAACCGAGTCACCTCTGGCAAGGCGTTTGGGTTGCTGACGGGTGGCAGAAGAGCTCGCATCTTCGGTTTCGAGGGTCCGTTTCTTTGAAGTTTTTTGTGTGGTCTTTTTTGGAGAACTCTCACGCTCGGTGTTTTTTTGTTTCTGCTTGTTTTTTGAAGACATCAGTAACACGAAAAAAGCTGTAAGAAAAATTTTTAAAAGGCACGCGATAATCAGATCAGCAGATCGTACGATTACATCATACATGAAAAGTTCCATGACCTTCGATTTTCTTCTGCGATATAGCATGTGATCGAACATCTATGTTACGCAATCAATCCCCAACAATTAGTAGGTCACGCATTAACTCTGCTGACAAAAGTGATCGGTAAATCCGGGAGATACTTTTTGGTACTTCCGTTCATTAAAGAACGCAGATCAAGACTATTATAAAAAAATTAATTAGGTTAGTTAAAAGATCAATTGATTTGTAATAATTGTTAAAATTGGTGATATGGATAACAGAAGTCCGATTGCTGATACCAATATGGCAAGAGCAGACAGTCATTGATCTAATTAACGTGTAAAGCGTGGGGGCACCCATGACTCTTATTTTGAAAAAAAGATACTTACGTACCTGAGTCGTCCCTATAGGCCTACTTTGCAATAAAAAGTTCTGGCAATTTCTCGTCCTTTCCCGTCCAAGTCTATAAATTCTGATCTATGATTTTTTATATAAAGAGGCGGAGAAAAATATCTGAAACTCCTTTACTCCTTCGTTAAAATAATTAACACTTTTGAGGAATAAAACGTTTAACAAATTTTAGCCTTGCGAGCTCCGCTAATAAATCTTACCCGCGATAAACAAAGAGATTCATACACTCGAAATAAGATCTAATTTCTAACGATTAAGGTTTGTTTATATGCTATGACACTCTCCCCCGCATTCGTGTATGTATGCTAATATGACCAATTTCCACTTATAGATGACATCACTTGTTGTTTCGGGGATCGCTCCATTTTTGGATTTCGCAGGCCTATTGATGCTCGTCGAGAAAATCTCCATTTACTTGCTCATTGGTGCCACGTTTTATTGCAAAGTAATGGCTCTAAGAGCCTATTTTTCACGTATCACCAAGAAAGACATCGACATCAAGCATAATTCCGACCCTTCTGCACGTGATACGACGTTTAATGAAATTCTTGCCAATCGCGATGCCAGGTTCTTAACCGAACTCACCGATTACCGTGTCATATTTAACGCTGAACTCGCCTCACGCGATGAAAACTTTACAGCGGAGATCCAAAGAATCTTGATAATGCTAAATACTTCTACTGCGAGACTTGATGAGATTGAACAAGTTCTTCAAAATTACCATAACAATTTTGGTAGAGTCGCAACCGAATTCGAATCAATCAATAGATCTATCACAATTCTCCAAACCGAAGTTAATCAACGACACTCCCTTGTCCGGAGTACTAATAGGAGAGGATCGGACCAGCAAATCGAGGCTTTATCATCTTCTGCTCGTTTATCAAATTCCTCAACCTCAAGCCAAAAATTCGCGAATATCATTTCTACAATCCGGGAACTGTTAAAGGCTATCTTTGCTAGAGTTAAGGATGCGAATGGTTATACTTTAGATCAGATGTGTAATATTGTATCGGCTGACATTCTTAGGCTTGGGATGGGAGCAATTGGAAAAGATATAATAAAGGGTTTTCACAATGGGAATAGTATAAGAAGCGAAAACTTAGAAAAGATAGGTGCTTGGATAGATAGTCATTTACACACTACTGAGTAGCAGGGAAGGAACTGCCATTATATGGGTTAGGGCTCGGCAGGCTTATATAACAGATTACCATTTCATATTGAATATGAGATTAAAACATTTAAAGAATATTATATTCCAGTTAATATTAATTGGATAAGTTCTAAAAAGAGTCAATTACGGATTAGATTCCGAAAGCGCCTTTTAGAAATAGGAGCATAGACTTTAGACTTTATTTCGTTATCCTGAGGGTCGGTAACATTTTTTACTTTAGTTTTATATACAGTTATGCGACGATTTACGGGTTTAGGCTCGAAGAGCCATTTCTTTGAATAAAACGTATGATATATATTCCAAGCACGCAAGTGCCCTGTTCCACAGTAATTTAATCACATGAATTTTTATACCTTTTTCCTATGTATCAGCTGGTTTACTTTTTATTTTTTCTTTTGACGCAATTCTATTTCCTTCTGCAAATCTAATGGAGTATCAAACCTTAACCGAATTGCTAGAGGATCATCCTCTGACCTAGTAAGATCAAATACAATAAATTCATTTTTTCGAAGGTAACTATTAATAACCATTGATGCATTCTTAACATCATCAGTATATCGTCCAATTATTTTAGACACGTCTTGATAAGAACTGCCCCCGTTAAATATTACTAGATGGGATAAATTCTCACGAATAATTACTGGGACATGATGATATTTTTGTGTTACATAGATTGGACTTATATTTCGATGACGCCCATGTGTGAAAAATGGAATAATTCGATTTTG